CCTGATTTTTCCAAATGGTAGACTCCACTGACACTATGACCGGTCTGTTCAGGGACTGGACAGTTAGAGCTTGTGACTCATCAGTCTGGCCATAGCTACCTCGTGCTTAGCTCCTCCTCCAGAGCAGCTGCTTCTCCCAGAGCCACATCACACCAGCAGCAGACTTTGCTCACCTGACTGCTACTCCCTCAAGGGAAGGGACCCTAACTGTTCATCTGTGCATCCCTGGCAGGTGCAGGCTGAATCAACTGGGGGCAATTTTTATTTCTCCAGGAAGACATGGGCCAGGGACCATGAGGGGTACAGACACCTGGCAGGAGGAACATACTGACCGAACTGGGGAGACTGGGTCAAGGTCCAAATGAGCTTGAAGGAGGAAGAGAATGCTATAGGCTGCTGGTGGAGGGAAGCCTGCAGGTGGTGGAGGCACCTGGACTGTGCCTACAGGGAGTGTTAGGGTTATCTCTGTGCACAGTAAATTAAAAAGGGGCCTGCTGGGCGTGAACAGCGGCTCAAGAAAAGGAAAAGGGGCAGAACTCTGTAGATCACGTTGGACACCAGGAGCAGACCTCATTCAGCTGGAGCATGGATGGCTCCAGGAAGGGAGAAGAGGGAGAGAAGATTGGGGGTGCAGAAGAAAGGACCACCTGTCCCCCAGGGGCTTCCCGTTCAGCAGGGAGATAGGACCGGCAGCCATGAGCATGCAGAATCAAACAAGCAGGCTCTGTCAAGGGCTTCACGAGGGTGGCAGACAGACCCTCTGAGAAGGGCCTCGAAACCAAATTATTCTTGATTGTTTTTTAATACAAAGTAAATGGAAGATGTTCCCCCCAAACAAATCAAGATGGTGGTGGGGCAACACCATGAAAAGTAGGTATCTACCGGGGCGCCTGGGTGGCACAGTGGGTTAAGCGTCTCACTCACAGTTTCGCCTCAGGTCGTGACGTCAGGGTCGTGAGACTGAGCCTCGAGTCAGGCTGCGCGCTCAGCACGGAGTCTACTTGAGTTTCTCTCGCCCCCTCCCTCTGCCTCTCCCCCCACCCCGTGCTCACTCTGCTCTCTCTCTCTCTCTCTCTCAAATAAGTAAATCTTAAAAATAAAATAGGAGCTGGCAGAAGTCACAAGGGGGCCGCTGCAGGGCCTGGGGAACAGGGTGGGAGAGCAGACTTGCCACTCCAGTCCACAGTGACCGGTGTCGACCCTGAAAAGGAAGTTTTCTGACCAGCTCACGCAGCAACACCACTGCCCCAGGCTGCTTCCACGCTAAGCAGACCCAGGGGACAGTGGTACAAGGCTTCACTGGGGGCTGTGGCTCCTAGTCAACCCAGGGCTAATGGACGCCAGGAGACGCTGAAGCCCCCCATCTAACCAAGGCCCAGGTAGGCTCCCTTGTGGGCCACCCGCAGGGACAGAGAAGGACAGTGCCCAGAGGCATCGTCCCTCCTGGCTGGCCCCTGGGTTCTGCAGAAACTGCCGGGAACCTCTCCTGTCAGGGCTCCTGCACCACCCGTACTCTCCTTGTCTGCACGGACCCGTCTCAGTGGTAACTGTAATCTGCTCCCCAGGTGGGCTCCCGGGTCACAGGTAGGACACAAGCGTGAAAGAGACAACCACCTGGCCATCAATCTAAGCTCTGCTACTTACAGGCTGCACGATCTTGGATAAGCCTCAGTTTCTTCATCCATACAGTGGGCATAACAACTGCGTCCCACCTCATAGAGTAGAGATGAGGATGAAACCCCTTACGGAAGCTGGAGGGTCGTGGAAGCCCCATGCAATACACACACAGATGCAGGTACCGTTTCTGCATTCCAGACGAGAGAAACTCAAGACTGCTGCAAGTGCCCCTTCTCTTAGATGCCTCTGTTGGTGTTTAGGGCCCTGCCTGGGTATCAGAAAGCATCTTCTGGTCTAATCCATGTCCTCCTGACTTCAGGGGAAGGCCTAGTCCTTGTGAGTGATGCCTCAGAAGGACACAGGTCCTTCTGCCATGAAGGGGAAAGTGGGTGAGTTGCGTGTATTTTTATGTCTTTTGGGCCCGAGCCTGCTCCTGACTCCCCTAACAAACAGGAGCTCCATGCTGGAGATAGCCATACACGTGCGCCACTGAGCCTCTGGGCCTGGCCAGCTCAGGCTCCCCCATGACACACGGCCCCATCCTCCCTCCTCCAGCCAGGTGTGCCCAGAAAACCCTCTGCCCTACTGGACGGTACCAAGGTGGAGCCAGAAAGCAGAACCCAGCACAAAATGGTAAAGGAGCTGTGGTGTAATGGCTTGGCCCAGCAGGCTCCTGGGGGCGGCTGCCTGGAGATGGACAGAGCCTGAAGCTGCGAGGCTGCCTCGGCTGGAGCATTCTAGTTCAAACACAAGCCGACTGCTGTCCTCGGTAAGTCGCTCCACTTCCATCAGCCTCGGCTTCCACATCTGTAACAGGAGAGATTGGCCTAGACTGCTTCTATGAGCACCCTCAGTCCAGGATTCTGAGCAGCCCTCCCAGGGGGTATCTACAAGTTCTGGCTGCCCAGGTTCAAATCCCAGCTCTGCCATTTCCAGTGAAATCCATGAGTCCCTTCACCTCGTCAACCGTAACTCCTCGTCTCTAACAAGGGAATGAAAAGAACACCTACTCAGGGTTACTGGCTGGATTCAGTGAGGACAGGACGTACCTGGCGTGGAGTGAGGGATTATTTGTAACTATTATTAGTCTGTGAATTCGGCGGCCTCCTGCCACCACCATCCTCTCAATGGACTGAATGTTTGCGTCTCCCCCCCAGCTCACATGTTGTACGAAGCCCAAACCCCCAATGTGACGGTGTCTGGAGATAGTGCCTTCCAGAGGTAATCAGAGTTAGATGAGGTCATGAGCGTGAAGGGATTAGTGGCTTTATAAGAAGAGGACAGAGAGAGATGGAGGAAGGGCCATGTGAGGGCATAGCGAGAAGGTGGCCATGTGCAGCCCACGCAGAGAGCCCTCCCTGAACCTGCTGGGACCTTGATCTTGGACTTCCCAGCCTCCAGAACTCTGAGAAGTAAATCTTCGCTCTTGCAGCCACCCCGTCTGTGGTATTTTGTTATGGCAGCCCAGCAGATTAAGACAACCCCATGACCCGCCATCCCCATCCCCTACTCTCTGCATGGGAAAACCCACTAGGTCCCCCCAAACCCAGGAAAATCAACATCATGCACACCCTGGAGGCCACATGCACGATCGCAAGCACACACAGGGTCAGGCAAAACTCAGCATGCCAAGCGGCAGGGTGCAGTCACTGCAACAGGACAGGGAGGACAAGCAGAGAGGAGGCAGGCGAGTGGGGGGCCACGAGCAGTCAGTGAGAGGCGGGGAGCTAGCACAGGCCATGACCGAGCAGCCCACACCGGTGGCTCTTGGCTCCTTACCTCCCCTGCAGGACCTCTGACCACCAGGACTGTGTTCCCCCAAGAAGCTGGAGGCGTGCTGGAAAGAGTAGAGAGCAGGAAACAGGGAGCAGTAGGTAGAGCCAAGTCTACAGGAAAAAGTGCTGGAAAGGGCCCCACAGAGGGTGTTAGGTTTGGGGAGTCCATGGCACAGTGGTTTTCAAGAGGCCCAAAAGACCCAAATGTTAAATGAAGTGCCCCCCCATGACTGGCCTATGCTGGGGCAGACAAAAAGGGATGAGAGAGCAAAGGGAGAAGAACCCACATACTGGGTCATCCCACATGGCCACCTGCCCTCCCACACGCTGGTGCTGCGTCTGTCCAGGGTGACAATCTCGGCAATCCGGGATGATGTGAACAGTCTCTCCAAAAGGAAAGGGACCCAGGGGTGGACACAGAGCCCTCAAGCAAGAGCCCGGGTCAAAGGAGGCCGTGCCCTGCCCAGATGTCAGTCAACCCCCGGGATCCTAAGGAAGACAGAGGGGAGGTTCCAATCCTGGTTCCACCACAAATCTCTGGGCAACTCTGGACAAGGTATGTATCCTCTCTAGGCCTCAGTTTCCCCATGTGTAAGATGGAGAGAATGTCCCTACCTATAACAGAGAAGGTGACAAACACTCTACCATCTCAGACACCCAATCCCCCTATGGCCATAAGCATGTCTAGACTTTTCTCTGGGGACTGGCTGGTGCTGAAATAAGGAAATGACCAAACCTCTAAGACTCCTGACAACAATCTGGGCAGAGGGGCTCCTGGGACACCTCACTGCCACCAAGGGCCAGCCCTTAGGGCACAGATCTGGGGAAGGAGGAGCCTGAAGCACAAAGTCTGGGGTCAGCGTTTTACTAACATGTAACCCCTTCAGGGCCAGTTCCATGACACTAGATAGTGTCCCAAGAGAGCCACCACCCACAGCCCTGTATCATGAAATTTCTGCATCACTGACCCTGTGTGCCTCAGGCCTCACCAGAACACCCCTCACTCTGGGAACTGGTTCTGACCTGCCCATCCCTGGATGCCACCCACAGGTGCCCACAAATACCTGAGGAGGGACAGGCTGCTGTATACCATCAAGCACCCGATTGGTAGCCAATGTCAGTCACCGGCACCGGCCTGGACAATGGGATGGCCCACTGTTTAGTCTTTCTCAACCTCGTGACCCAGTCTCTTGGTTGTGGTAACCCTGTGAGGGCAGGTATCACAACTCTGTTTCACACATAAGTCAACTGAGGCCAGGAAAGGTAAAGCAGTAACTTGCCCAAGGATGTGCAGTGGGGTGACTGGTTCTTGACAGAGCCAAGATGAGAACCTGAGTCCTCTGTCATCTGGCCTGGTGGCTGCCATCAGCCAGCGCGCACTGGCGTGCCTGGTCGCCGCTGGTGTCCACCTGCTGGGTCAGCGCCCGAGCGCTGCTAGGGGTTACGTATCCTGGACACTGGCCCTGCAGGCCACTGCCAACATGGCATCTACTCCCCTACGGCCGCTACCTGCTCCTGGTACATGGGGGCCAGAGTGCAAGTAGCTCAACGTGGTGGTGGGGAGCCAGGGCTGGCGCTCTCCGGGGCCCCAGCCAGGCCCACACCTACCTTTGATGACAAAGGCCTCTGCCAGCAGCCGCATCTGATACAGTGGCTTGTTCTCCACGGACATGTCATCAATCCCGGCCCGTGCATACATGCTGATGGCATCTCGGTACGAGCCCTCCACGTAGTGCAGCTTGCCCTGGATCAGCATGGCCTCACACAGGTACTGTGGCTGCAAGGACAACAAACCCATTAGCAGGCTCCTGCCTGGAAGCCCCTGCCCCACCCGCACCCCATAACCTGGGAAAAACGCCTGCCTCCTCCCATGGAGCCATGCCGACTTGCCAAAGCCCCTCCTCCAGGAAGCCCTCCCTGGCCCTCAAACACGTGTGACATCTCCCTGCTCTCCACACCTGCAGTCTGTGGCCTACACTACGGCTCTCATTGAACTTCTTATGTGAGTGCCTAATTGTTGTGTGTGTGTGTGTGCGCGCGCGCGTGTTTGTGTGTGTCTTATGCACCCAACCAGACTCCAGGCAGCTTGCGGACTGGGCTCGGTGTTCTCTCTCCTGAAGCCCCAGAGGCGTCAGCCCCAGTCTGGTGCTCAGGAACTCAGGCATTGGTTCTCAACACGAGTCGGGGGTCAGGGACCCAGCCAAATGTTGTGGGGCCTGAAGCTCACATAACTGGGGGTTTTTCTTTACGTGCATATCTGTACAAATATACAGTGAGGTGAAAGGCCGTGGAAAGAGCCCATGCAGTAAGGGGCCAGCAGCCGAAGCCCCAGCCGCAACAGCAGGACCTGTGTGGGGAGAACGGCCCCATCAGGAGAGGGACAGGATGGCAGGAGAGCCAAGGCCTGCTGGGCCACTGTCCTCATCTCAAGTGCAGAACCAAGTGCCCGAATTCAAACCTGTTTTCTTCCCTCTCTTTCTCCAGTGCTGCTTATGGCCCAATCTTCACCCCAGGAAGTCTGGTCGGCCCTGCCCCAAAGTCCTGCCCCTGGACATGCGTCCAGCCTTGCTCCAAGATCTCCCACTCTCTGTGACCACTTCTCTAGCCCTCCATCTCTGTGCTCAGCCGGCCCATCGCCCCTTTGGGCCGGGCTCTGGGCACGGCCCCCATCACCCACCAGCAGTTCTGTCCACAATGCTTCTTGGAGAGGCAGGCTGGCCCCCAACCCAAGCCTCTGTTACCAGCAGGAAGGTGCCACCCCTTTTTCCCTTTGGGGAGATTGGAGTCTGGGGAACCTGTAGTCCCAGGGAAAGCCTCCACTACTCCCAACTACCTACTGCCCTCTCAGAAGCCAACCAAGAGATATGGAACACACCAAAGCCAAATTCTCCTTCTGCACTGATGTTTTAGTCATTGTAAATACACATTTTTCCCTTGCCTTTGCTCACATAGCTCCCTGTCTGGAACAGTCTCCCCCTTCCCCTGGGTCTATCCAGATCTCTTCCATCCTTTGGGAGCTTGCTCAGGCCCACCACTTCCTAGAAGCCTCCCTGAGCACCAGGGGACTCCTTCTGCTGCTGAACTCCTATAATGCATCTGCCAAGTGGACCCGCTCAGCCCCTGTAGGCCTGACCTGCCCCGACTGTTGGTTAATTCTCCAAGGCTGAATTTTTTTTTTTTTAAAGATTTTATTTATTTATTTGAGAGAGAGAATGAGATAGAGAGAGAGCATGAGAGGGGAGAGGGTCAGAGGGAGAAGCAGACTCCCTGCTGAGCAGGGAGCCCAATGCGGGACTTGATCCCGGGACTCCAGGATCATGACCTGAGCTGAAGGCAGTCGCTTAACCAACTGAGCCACCCAGGAGCCCTCCAAGGCTGAATTTTTCAAGTGCATTTGCTAGTGTCCCCAAATAGGCCACCTACTCCCTCCACCAGGGCCACAAATTATGCATTCCCAGAACCTTGTGGCCCATGGTCTTCCCTAGCTGGGCAAAGATTCTGCTGTTCCCCATATTGGTTTCAAGCCACAGGCCCATTTTCTCACTGCTCGGGCTCATTTTCACCATTGGTGAGGGCGAGACAGTGACACCCACCCCTCACCTCCCATCACACCAATGCCAAGAGCATCAGAGTAATGCAAGTCCAGAAAAGAGCTTTGAACTTTTCTTTAGAAAGGAGTTAGATAAATACAGGGCACGAGTCATTGTCATTATTATCCTGCCCCACTGTAAATGTGGAGAAGGGCAGCTGAGCTCAGAAGGACACACTTCAGGGTGTGATGACAGGGTGTAGCTCACGGTGGTTCCTGCTGGACCAATGGCAGCTCACAACAGAGCTTCCACCAAGCTGGGGGAAAACGAAGGACAATGTGAGTGCTTCATATGCTAAATTTACACTACTTAAAGAGCTTCCCTGAATGGGTCCACTTGGCAGATGCATTATAGGAGTTCAGCAGCAGCAGGAGTCCCCTGGTACTCAGGGAGGCTTCTAGGAAGCTTGGGACCCATTAATCAAGTCCAGCCCTTTTGATTGGCAGATGAGGAACTGGAGGGCCCAAGAGATCAGGGTACATGCTCCAGGTCAAACAGCTAGTTTATTTAATGCACCTTGCCCACCTCTCCCCCCATCTCATCAGAGCTACTCAGGATACTCAGCACTCCAGCCGGGGCTTCATCTGCTGCCAGGAAAGACCATCCCCCAGACACACCCTGGCCTTCAGGCTAGGACAGAGAATCCCACAAAGTACTTTTAATATTTTATTGTGCCTAATCAACATCAAGTTTTTGGCTCTGCCCTGGATAACCGTGACAATCTGAGTGCTATACCGGCGCCCGTGTATGTCTTTGATTAATAAAGCACGGTAAAATTTGTTCTCCAGAAATGTGATTTGGCATACAAATGATTTTCCTGAGAACATATGTGGACGCTATTCAGCCCATCCAAAGAATGAAGTATTGGCATGGGGAAAGCTCCAAGTGAAAGTTCTTGTCAAATATGGATCCTATGACTCTAGCAAGAAAAGAAAGCCCGATATGTGTGTATGTGTGTTTGTTAATGCACAGAGAAAGGCGCCTAGGACACACACCAAATGGTGACCAGCGCTCAACTCTGGTTGATGGGGTGGTATGGGGATGGGGGTGGGCATGGGGGTGGCAAACAAGAACTTTTATTTATTAGTCAAACTGCTCGTTTATTTAATGACTTGTTAACAATAAGCCTGAGTCATCTTACTGTAAAAGCAATTGTTAAATAGTTAATGGAGTCTGGAAAAGAGACAAAATTAAAAGGGGTTTTGTGGGGGGAGGGGAAGCTTGGGACCCATTAATCAAGTCCAGCCCTTTTGATTGGCAGATGAGGAACTGGAGGGCCCAAGAGGTCAGGGGACATGCTCCAGGTCAAACAGCTAGTTTATTTAATGCAATACAAAACCTCCCAGAGCTACAATAATCCCTGCTGAGGAGTCTGAAGGCAATATCCTTAACCTCCCAGTACACTTCCCCCACAGAAAAAGCCCCACACTTCTTGGCCTGGTATTTCAGTCCCCGCTCACTGGCCCCAAAGTATCCCTATAACCTAATTTCTCCCCATTCCTTTCATTCCTGCTGATTGACGTACTTTAATGAAAATCTTATAAGAGGAATCATTAAATGATATATTGCTTCCTTCTTGGAATGCCCTATCCTATCTCTACATGTTAATACCCTCCCCCCACCTTCAAGGTGTAGCCACCCCACCCCCCGCAAAGAGTCCAATTCTAGTACTACCATCACCCTGGGTTGACTCCCCACCTCACCCCAGGCAGTATCCCCCTTGAACTTGCCTCTTCATGTACAATACTCCTCTGGTATGTGTCATAGTCCACCTAGGACAATTTGGCAGGAGGACTTATTTTCCCAGTAAACCTGCAACCTCCCTGAGGGCAGGGTCCATGCTGGATTCATTTTTAGCGTCCTCAGAGTATAATGCCTTGTGCACTCGGTCACTATAAATGCTTTTTTTTTTTTTTAAAGATTTTATTTATTTACTTGTCAGAGGGACAGAGAGAGAGAGAGAGAGAGCACAAGCAGGGGGAGTGGCAGACAGACGGAGAAGCAGGCTTCCCGCTGAGCAAGGAGCCCAAGGTAGGACTCGATCCCAGCACCCTGGGATCAGGACCTGAGCCAAAGGAAGATGCTTAACTGACTGAGCCACCCAGGCATCCCACCATAAATGTTTAAGTCAGTAAATGCATTACTTTGAAACATCTTTTGAAAAATCACGTCCTCTCTGGGTCTCTAATGACATACCCATACCTCTATTATAGCTCAGGATACACTGTAATCCAGACCCATCTCAAACTTGAATATACACAGGAAATCACCGGGAGAGCTTGTTAACATGAAGATTCTGATCCAGATTTTGCATTCCCTTGATGACACCCATACTGCAGGTGGGTGGACCATGCTTGAAGCAGCAAAGGTCTGGAGAGAGCTGACTATATTTCCCTCCATACCTCCCCTTGGTGCCTTTTATAGAGTAGGTGCTCAATAAATGCACATAGACTTAAACTGGCTTGCCCTGTTCTGAGCTCTTCTGTTGCTAGCCAACTTCACGTTTCCCTGTTTCCAACTGGATCATGCGCTCACTGAGGTCTTATTTCCCTGGGACCCGCAAAGAGCCCAAAGGACCACGCGTGTACTAGGTCAACCAAATGCTGTCTAATAGAACTATAACTTAAACCACGTGTATAATTTAAATTTTTCTACTCACATTAAAAAAGGCAAAAATAGGGCGCCTGGGTGGCTCAGTCAGTTAAGCAACTGCCTTTGGCTCAGGTCATGATACTGGAGTCCTGGGATCAAGCCCCACGTTGGGCTCCCTGCTCAGCAGGGAGTCTGCTTCTCTGTCTCCCTCTGCCCCTCCCCCCTGCTTGTGCTCTCTCTCTCTCTAATAAATAAAATCTTTAAAAAAATAAATAAAAGAAATTTTTAAAAATAAAATAAAAAGGCAAAAATAGATGAAATTAATGTTAATAAGATATATTATTTAACCTAGTCTATCCAAAATATTATCATCTGAACACATAATCAATATAAAGAATTAATCATCTTTAACATTCTTCATTTCGCGCTATGTCTTCGGATTCCAACGTATGTTTTACACTTACAGCACATCTCAGGTTGGACTGGCCCCATTTCAAGGCCTCGAGAACCACATGAGGCTGGTGGCCACTGTCCTAAACAGTGCAAAGCCAACCTCTAAGGGAGACCTGCTGCTCAGATGACCAAATGACTCAGGGACCCTGCTTGACAGCAGATGGGAGGCAGGAGAGAGGAGCAGAGGGGGCTGACCACTTACAGACAGCCTCCCGTGGTTAAGGATACTACTCAGATGGTTTCTGGCTTCATTCATCTTCGGCTCATTCTTCTCAGGCAAAGGGATGGAGTCTTTTATCTTGGCGTGGTTCTCCTTCAAACACTGCTCCAGGAGGGCCTCGGCCAGGAGCAACTTCCCAAAGTCATCTGAAAAACAGGGCAGGGATCCCCTGAACATGGTAGATCCCCTGAAACTAGTCCACGTCCCTGTAGCCACCCAGCCACCCCTGCCCCAGCACAGGAGCAGCCTGAGTCTGAGAAAAGAAATAAAGACCCAGTTTTCATAAAGTTAAACAGCCTTGAGAGAAAAAAAAACACAGGCATTCTATCATGCTCACAGTACAAATTGCCCCTTTGGGTTTATTTTCTACAGTTTAGTGGCTGGAGAGGCAAAGTTCCCAAGACTTGGGACAAATTCCCAGAATTTCAGAATTTAAAATGAAGGACAAAGTCACACCCAGGCCCCACTGTGGGTAATAAGTTTTTAGACCAAGAAGGAATTCCGCCCCCAAAACAACCCAAGAGGAAAAATATAGGAGATGGTTTAATGCATTTTCGTGAACTCCTAATTTCCGTGTAACCGTAGTTGGTTTTCTCCATTTTTACGGTATTTGAACTTAACCAAGGCTAACCTAGCAACGTAAGCAAAGAGTTAAGGCAGGAAGCAGATGTACTGGTGTAGCAGGGCAAAGCCTTGGACATGCCTAGTCCTGGCACTTTCTGGAGTTCTCGCACATATGTCAGCCCATCTCCAGACCTCACCGCTTGGCAGGGAGTTTGTACTGTTTGGTTCTATTTGCCACCTCCCCACACCTCCCCACACAGCACCGAAAACTCCAGGCTTGGGACCACCACATTCCTGCTACCTACAGCAGAGGTGACAGGGGAATGGGTGGGACGCCCTAGGTTCTGAGGTCGAGTGTGGTTTCACGACCACACTTGGGTGGCTGTGCTCAGTGTGACTGGTTCACTGCCCCTCCCCTGCCACCAGGGTGAGGACCAGGCCCAGCACTCAACAGAAGTGCCCAACAAATAGCTGCCAAGTGAACTGGATCCTCTTCACGCCTGGGTGAGGAAGCCAAGAGGCTCAGGGAGTCACGTGCCAACCCAAAATGCCTCCGGGAAGGTCTGCTTGGTCCCCAGGCTTCACAGAGCTCTTTCTACTTGCCAGGATGGCATTTAGACCCACCCAGGAATGCCACTCACTCCTTACTCTCAGGACCACTGCAGAGTGGTCTGCAACTTTGCTCACAACTTTGCTCACAACTCAAAGCCATGGACCCCAAATTGCAGGCCTCTGAAGAGTCTCTCCCCAGAGAGGAGATTCCCCGCAGAGAACAGCCTGAAAGCTCAGATCCCAGAGAACAGTCCCTGGAGGTTTTCCCTCTGAGGACGCCACAGCCTGTCAGTGATCCTGTGCGGTCTCCCTCATGATTCTGAAAATTAACATTTGGAGGAAATGGCCAAAAAAGTACTTTGTCCAAGCTATCATCCATCACTGGTGGAGCGGAAGTTGGTGGGACCTCTAGAAAGGGCGATTTGATGACGTATATAAAAATAATGTTTGTGCACCCCATCAACTCTGCAATCCCACTGCTACAGAGGTCTTGGCATGTGTGTAAAATGACTGATATATACGGTCACTCCTGCAGTGTTTTTTATAATAGCAGAAAATTAGAGACAACTTTTATGTCCATCAACAGGAGGCTGATTAAATAAAGCATAGCACTTCCATAAAAAGGGATAGCACTGCCATAGAAAGGAATGAGAAGCCCTGTCTGTGCTGTTAAAGAATGAACTCCAAGACAAATCAGTAAGAAAGCAGAGTGCACACAGTGGACACAAACGTGTGTTTATGTATAAACACGTGACTCAGGATACATACATATCCGATGTCCTTTCTGACTTACGGGGAAGGTGGCAGAGACAGAGGGAGGCTTTTCACTCTTTACTTTTGGGTCCCTTTGGAAGGCTGACCCATGGGAATATATCATCTAGTGAAAAATAAAATCCAAGTCAACTCAAGAATGAAAAGCAATCTTCTCCATTTCCAAATGTCAGCTAGGAGGAGGGTTGGGCTGCTGAGTGCTGGGGGCCTGAGCAGCATTCCCGAGCTGTGGGCCACAGGGCAAGTGGCTCTCCCTCTCCGACCGGGTTTGCACCTGTTCAACCAGAGGTAGAGTTAGGAACCTGCTCCTTCTGAGGGAACTGAGGCCCTCCCTCCATAGTCCCTCCTGGGCTGGTTCCTCGCTCACCTGCAGCTCCCCACCGGGCCCACCCAACTGCCAACTGCGGAGCTCCCCCCAGACGGGCGGGCTCTGTTGTTCCTTTCAAGCCCAGAGAAACCAGCTTCCTTCCAAGCAACCCTGAATCTGGAAATATCCCCCAGGGCACACATCTCTCCTCAAAAGAATAGGCGTGTCCTCTGAACAGAGTTGCTCAAAGTGTGGTCGGTGGACTGGGGTGGGTCTGTGTCTGTCACCCAATTGATAATGTGACAAAATAATTTTGAATCTGCTGACTTGAATAATAAAAAAAAAAAAATGAGAGGCCGCGGCTTGTGTATCTTACGAAAGTATCAGAGCCCAACAAATTGGGAATTAAAAAAAAACACAACAAAACACGGAAGTCATCCCTCACCACAGATCGCTTGAGAAGCACTGCCCTGACCCCTTTTACTGCAAAAGAGGGGTCAATATTTGCTGAGGGCCTACTGAGCGCCGAATATTTTATTATACAGTATTCTTTAATCTGCATGGCCCTAAAAGGTAGGTATTACTCCCATTTTATAGACAATAATAAAGATATGCAATATTGCTATGGTCCCAGCCCACAACAGCATCATACCACATTCCACGACATAGCCACCGGACAGGCTGTCTCCCCTGCATCCCATGTGGAGCAGAGCTTCTGGTAGTTTAGAAATAAAGAAGTCTAAGGGCTGTAAACCGTACGTTCAAGGGTAACAGTAATTCCAAGTAACAGGACTCTCAAATAGGAATTCCAATAGCAATTCCAAGGGCAGGGATAAGAATTGTGCCTACTGTCACATACCCGTGAGTTTCAGACTGTTCTATAAATTAACACTTCCGGTCCTTCTCAAGCCTTTTTGCGCCCTGCCCCTTCACTGCCGACCCAGGGTCTGCGTTTGGTTTAGCAGACATTCCGTAGGTGTTGGGAACCGAACTGCTTTTCTTTTCTTCCTTGCCCACATCGCTTCCCTCTCTCCTCTGCCTTCCTTCCCCTTCCTCTGGCCATCCCACCATTCCCAACTGGCCAATCTATGGGACTGAAGACTATTTTAGAATTAAAAGTTCTAGATTTCCAGTTGTTCAATAAGAATTCAAGTGGATTCTTATTCATTCTTATTCATTCTTCCTTCTCTGAAGGTAAAACGTGGCTTTTTATCATCTTGTCTGAAACCTACTCCCTATCCTGATTTGGGTAAAGTGTTCCAGCTTCTTCCCTCCCAAGAGGCATTAGGAAGACTTTCCTGACAGTGAAACAGATTCTGGAAGCCTGAACACGGATTCGTGCAGCCCAGCCCAGCCCCCTGGCCCTGGGCAGAGGTCCAGAGGAGGCCACCACTGAATGGCCCCTCAGACTCCTGACCCACCTGGTTTTGTAGGCCTCTGGCAGCTAGCTTCCCATCTGCTCTCAGGGTGCCAGGTCACAGGGACCCACTTCAAAGATACCTGCCCCTTCCCCAGAAACCACATTTGCAGGGCGGAGCCCCCTCTCCACAGCCTGCTGATCCGCAGTCAGAACCAGGGCCAGCCAGGTACGCCCTTCCCCATGAAGTCAGATGGGGGCACAGTGGTCTCTGCAGCTGCTTACCACACAGGACCGCAGAGGGCTGGGAGCTTCTAACCACAGAGAGAGGAGGAAGAGGCCAAAACGACTGAGAGGCCACCTGCCTCGAATACACCCCCTCTAACTCCAACTGAAGAAATGCTCAGAACAATCTCCAGTTCAGGGAAAAAAAAAAAAAAATCATTTCGTTAAAAAAAAAAAAGATAGGGGTGACTACAGATTAAGAGACTCTAGATGGATGGATAAATAGAGGAGCCGACATGTGATAAAGTAAGTACAGCTTAATTCTGCTGAATGTTTGAAATTTTCATTAAAAAAATACTGGGGGAGAAAAGAGACACCCAAACTACTAGGCAAATGCAATGTGTAGGATCCCAACTGTAGCAAATGAACTATAAAATTAAATCATTAGAATTGAGGGGCGGTGTGTGTGATAATGGTATTATGGTTTTGTTTTTTCAAAAGAGCTCTTATTTGGCCAAAAAAGAAAGGATTATACAATGGATTACATAAAAATAGAAAACTGCAAAAAAAAAAAAAAAGAGAGAGAGAGAGAAAGAAAGAAAGAAATTTCAACCCACTATCTAAACCATCATCCTATCTCACATAAAATCATCTTGTCCATGACATTCTGACTTACTGAAATCCTAATTTCTCTTTAGAATTCCTTTAATGTAACAGATCTCTGATCTTAATTAAGAAAAATGACTTTTTTTTTTAGGATCCTGCACTGGCTCCCGATGGTCACCACTTCTTTATGTATGTGCTTACACACTACTGTAAATAAATCTCTTCACAACTGAAAGAAAAAAAAAGAGTTCTTATTAATAAGTACCTACTTCGGTATTCACTGCAGGGGGTGGGGATAGGTTGGGGTGTAGCTCAAACAAGATCATTCTTGAGTTCATAATCACTGACGCTGGTTAATGGATACATGTTATTCACTGTTCTGCTTTTCTGAGGTTTTGGAAATTTTTCATAGTATTCATTTCTTTTTCTTTAACCACTTGGATGGGTTCTTTGTTTTTACATGAACCAACTCCATCACAGCCAGCCACACTCTGGGGTTCCCCTGCTCCATCCTGACCAAATCTAAACCGGATGTGTTTGAGAGAAAATGTACAAACAGTGGCAACCATCTTCCCCCAGGGCAGGAGCAGCCTCCCCAGAGAAGAGGGGGAAGGGCCCCTCTGCCTGAGCATCTCCTGACCCTTCACTCTCACCAGACCCCAAAGAGGACCCCCCAGTGGGTCCTCCCCTCCTGCCCCCTGGACTGAAATAGATGGTCTGGGAATGGTTTTTAGTTTCTGTAGGAAACCATGCAGATACAAGCAGGGCTCAGGGCCTCAGTTTGTAAAATGGGGTTCAAATGGGGTTTGGCCCCCCATCTCAATACATTCCCTCTCCTCTCCCCAAATAGGTAACTGCTGAAGCTTCTGGACACTGACTGTAAGAGTCTAATAGGCCAAGTAGTACAATAAGAATCTCCCTCCTGGGTTGAAGGGGGTCAGTGCTATACTCCAAAAAAACAGGCCCTCAATCCCTCGAGTGATCAAGGAACCCTGAGGAGAGAATCAAAATAGCAGACAATCCAAAAAATGCTCTACACATAGGTTTGGGAGTCATTTATTTTCCTTCCTCGTGTGCATCTGTGTGTGTGCCTGCGTGCGTGTTGGGATAGTGTATCCAGATTTAACAGTGGGAGAAAAATCATTTGCAGAACCAAACCCAAAAGTTGGCAGAAGAGACCCCACTGCACCCCTCAGTTTCCCTCCTTGTGCCAGGCAGTCCCTGCAGTGAAGCCAAGCCAGGGGCCTCATGCCCCGCCCCCACCTTCCCTAGTAGTAGACTTGGTGGCGGCAACCAAGGCTTGCATATAGGCTCTGCTACATACACATTATGTGACCTCTTTGGGCCTTGGTGTCCTGATGTCTAAAATGGAGACAATAACTCCTGCTCTCCCCATAAGGTTGTTTACAAGAATTTAAAAAAAAATAGGGAAAGCATTTTATAACCATACCATACCGTTTATAAACTCTATCATATCAGTGTTTCCCAATAATGCTTCATAGAATATGGTCAAGGCAAGTTTGAGAAATGTGCTATTTATACTCCAACCTCGGCTTGTATATCATAGGCAGGTGAACATATTAAAGGCTCTGAAGGGGCGCCTGGGTGGCTCAGGCGGTTAAGCGTCTGCCTTCAGTTTGTGTTGTGATCCCAGGGACCTGGGATCAAGCTCCAAATTGGGCTTCCTGCTTGGCGGGGAGTCTGCTTCTCCCTTGCCCCTTCTTCCACTCATGCTCTCTCACTCATTCTCTCTCTCTCAAATAAATAACTAAAAATCTTTAAAAAAAAAAAATAAACATAAAGACTCTGAAAAGTCCTACAGTTAAAAAAAAAAAGTCTGTTTAACACCATGGAATCTATTAGGTCCAGTTTCTTTACTTTTTGGGCTCCCTGAGTTCTTTCTTCTTGGGATACCAGTTAACTTTGTAATCTCCTTGAGACCTCTAAAAAGCAGTTTGGGAAATACAGACCCATATGAATTTGAGGAGGTCAGGTTCCTGTCTTGGCCCAGCATGCTCCTCTGTGGGGCCAACCTTACTCAGATTCCCATAACTCACCCAGGCCCCAGTGCTCTTTGTGTGGGTCCGTTTCCCATTCCCACCCTCAGAAGCCCCACCCCACTACATCACCCCTCACGGAGGACAGAAGGAGCACCTGCAATCTCTCTATTCTGCCCTGGGAGAGGAGGGTTCACCTGCTTCTCCCTTTAGCTCTGGCCACTCCCCCTCACTGCCATGCTCAGACTGATCTCAAAGCCCCAACCCAATTGTCCGCTGGTCTCTGTCACCCTAGCCCCCTCAGTGTCCTTCTATCCTCCCTCCTCATTGGGCAAACACACTCTGCCCTTCCCAGTACCAGCCTGAGGCCAGCACACATTCTGCCGCTTCCCCAAAACTCCTTTTCCTCTGGAGATGAGCTCCTCCATCTACCACACGATTGCCCTCTGGTCACCTCTCTGCCCCCCCATCCCTTTAGGCAACTCCTCAGGCTGGGATTTTGTGCTACACATCATTAAGAGATAACAGTAGCAGTGGTTAAAAGGATATACTCAGAAGCCTGGGTTCAGATCCTGCTTCTACCACTTATTGACTGGATGATCAAGTTATTTAACTGCTCAGGGTCTCTGTTTCCATTATCTGCAAGCGGGGTAAACAAGAGTGCCTGCCTCATGGGGTTGCTAGGAGGAATTAATGAATTGACTGAAGTGCTTGGTAGGACAGTGCATGGCACACAGTGAGTGCTGGGTAAGTGCTAGCTATGACTACTATTATTCTTATTATGATCCCACAGGCTGGGCAGTCTTTAAACCTCTAAATATCTGCATTCACTGACTCCTTGCCTCCTCCCGCAAGGCTCTAAAGGGGTGGTGCACAAAGAGGGCTCAGGGAAGGCTCCCCAGGCTGAGCTGTGGGCACCAGGAACAGGATTTGAGGCTGGAGACTGGGGCGGGGTGTTCCCCGACTGCCACATCAGGGTGCTTTCCCGCCCCAGCATAAGAGCCCAGCCCAGCCAAACCAGCCCTACTGCCAAAGCCACCGAGTGCCAGGGCTAGATGGGTCCCAAGTCCGACCACAGATGAGGAAACTGAGGCTTACCAGGCCTCTTTCCCACCTCACCCCCGCCCCCCCGCCCCGCGCGCGCTCGCCAACGCAACCCTGTCTGCTGTGGACAGAGCACCGTTGTCAACTGGACTCGGGGTGTTGGCGGGGGGGAGAAAGGAAGGGCAAGCAGGGACAGATAGCCTTCACCTGGTGGAGTTGAGGGACTGGGGGCGGGGTGGAGGGACGGCGCAAGAGTCCAGCCCTTGCCCTGAGCTGATCCGTGCCGATACCACCATTTCACAGTAGGCGGAGTTGCCCTCATGATCCCAAAGGGCAGGGAGCGAGAGCCGTTTCTCTCTCTTCCCCAAAGCGCCCAAACCTGCATGTGGTTTTTCTCCTGGGGCATAAGAACCTTCCTAATTACTCTGGCTGCTCCTACCACCAGCACTACAGGAAGGGTAATACCGAAGGCGGCCGTCGCCCGCCCGGGGGGCAGTCGGGGCCCGCTTCCTGGAGGAGGCGGCGCGTTTAGCGCGCCGGGTGCTCGGGAGCCAGCCGCTTCCCTCACTCACCGGTGTCCAGAGAGGTGAACACGGCATTCGGGCTGGTTCGCCGGTTGCCTCCGCCGCCGGGCATGACCAGCGTCTGCAGCTGCCGGACCAGCTCGGGCATGCGGTCCCAGTGGCCCTCGGCGCGGCAGCGCTCCAGCTCGCTCTCCATCTTCAGGTGGGAGCCGTGCGCGCCCTTCGCAGCCATCTTCGCGCGGGCGCTGTCATGGGAGGTGCGGCCGAGAAGTGGAGACCCGGCCGGGGGCGGCGTCCCGGC